CACAGTTCTGTGATGTGGATATCACACAAAATGTGTTAGCAATTACAAAGGCAAACAAGTCCAAGTATGTTTGTGAATGATAGGCTAAAATTAAAACTAAAGGATCACTGTCACTGAACATGTTTTCCTATGATGCCCAAAATAAATTGAAATTTTTTTTTAACTTCTTAACATATTTTGTAGGTATATTTTTAGCCACCAAAAAGAAACACACAATTCTCTAATAATGTTGCAAGTATTAGTCCCTTAACACATAAGTATAAAATGGAAGCTGTAGTTTATGTTTGATTTCTAAAATTAAGTATTTTAGAATCTCTAAAATTTCAACAGAATTCAATGTTTTCTTAAATGCTGCATGACCCATATAAACCCAATAATCTGTGTAAAATTTGTTATCACTCAATTTTCTCCACATTTACTGCTTTAACTTAAGCATTTCAATCTCTTAGATTTGGATTGTGTAACATTAATTGACTAGCCTCAACTACTTAAAACCTATGTTAACATAAATCTCTGAAATGGATCTGAGATTTAAATATGAAAGTATGATTTTAAAAGAGGCAAAAATATGAATTTTTTTCATAATCTTGGAATCAAAAAGGTTTTCCTAAGCATGATACATAAACCAGAAGCCATAAAGAAAACACTGGTGGAACCAACGATTTGAAAGACAAATTCTATACATTAAAAATAGCACAAATAAATCAAAAGACATAAGGAAAATACTTGCAAGATGCAAAAAATCCCGAATTCCTTAGTATATAAATTTCTCTTGGGAATCACAATGAAAACATGGAAAAAAATGATGAGTAAAGTTAACTCACAAAAGTAAAATAAAAAAGATATGAACATGCAAAATGTTCATTCTCACTAATAATAAGAGAAAAACAAATATCCAAAAAGGATACTATTTTCCATTTCACAGATAATCAAAAAATGTTTATAACGCAGTGTTGATGATGATGTGGGAAAACAGACATTCTCATATGCTACTGATGCAAGTATAAGTAGATGTAGCCTTTGTTAATAGCTTTATTGAGACATACATAATTCACATACCATAGTAATTCACCCATTTAAAGCATACAAAATTCATCGCTCTTAATATATCAGAGAATTGTGCAGCCATCACTACAAATTAACTTTAGAACATTTTCATTGTACCAAAGAGGGACTCTCATAGCCATTCACTGTCGTACTACCCTCTCTCACGCCTACATCCCTAAATAGTCATAACCTTAAGGGTAATCTGTCAATGCCAATAACATATTTAAATGAAAAACTCCATTTTACAGAATTTATTCTACGAAAACAAACATATATAAACGAAGATATGCACCGGGGTGTTCTGAAAGTAAAACTCTCTAAATAGCCTGTATCTTTCCATGGGGATCTATGCTAATAAAGTGTGGTATACCAGTCAAATAAAATATAACACTATTTTTTTAAGTAAGGTCTTATAACTGATATGAAAACTCATCAGAATATATATATTTAAGTTAAAAAGCAAAACAGAATAGTACATAGAACATGACCTATGAACTCATTTGTTTTAAAAGAAAAGAGATATTCCTAGAACATTTTAAAGGGACTACACAGTAAAATTTTAGCAGTGATTACCTCTGAAGAATGAAGATTAAGTGTTTGAGAAAATGAAAATTAAGTATCTAATATTTAACGTTTTGTTTTAATATAAAGTCACTGCACTTAAAACAATGCTTTTTATTTTTTCAAAGTCACCCAACAACAAAAGCTATTAGAGCAGAGACCACGCACAAGACACATCAGGACTGTCTTAAAAGAGCACACAAGACTCTGCTGAACTTCAAAACCACAAGCATTTCTCCTCTAGCTCAAAGAAAATGTTTAATAAAAGTGATTTTAGCATGTATATAACTCTGTGCTTCACAGTATAAATATGCATATAAATTTGAAGGAGTTATCTAAGTCAGAAAATTATCTCTGGAAAACAAAATTAATACAGCAGTATAACTTCTATTTCAAAAGTGAAAATATTACAAACACTGGCCTAAGAAACTTATTAAAGAGAAACACTTGTTCTGTATTAACAAATTTTTACATTTACAAAGTTAATCTCACCTACTACTTTCCTCTGCCTTCAAATGCCTCCTCATTACCTTTGACTTTTTATTTTCATTCTCATTTTTGCATATAATAAATTCCTTACTTATACCTTACAAAAGTTTTCCATAGACTTTAAATATTAATTTTGGGGGGCCTCCCAGTGGCGCAGCGGTTGAGCCCTGGAATGCGAAGCTGCCTGCAGCCTCTGCAGCGCTGGTTTGGTCCCACATGGCATACAGACCTCTCCTGCTGCGCCCGCTGCTTCCGCTGGTCCCCTCAGCAGTTTGTTTCGTCAGTCTGCCTGTTCTGCTCCCTGCTCTGGCTCTGGTGAATTCTCTCACCCTCCCACACTTATCACTGTACCCAGTGTTTATATAAATAAATAAATCTTAAATATTCATTTTGTTCTGGAAGTTAAATTGGTTACGATATTAAATTTATAAAAATCCATCATTTCAATTTTATAAAATTCATTGCCCCAAAGACATATTTAGATATGCATATAAAGATGGACCTATAATAATTATTTTCCCATAATTATTTATACTAGTGAAAACTTAACCTCATTATCCAACAAAAGTGGTAAGTTAAATTAATGGAGGATCATTCCATACATGAAATATAACACTGGTTTAAATAGATGCTTAGGAACAATACTAAGTAGCACAAAAATATTCAACATATAAAATAACATATATAACATCAATTTAATAAAATATGTGTTTACAGAATATATAGAGAAAAGACGAAAAAGTAATACAATGATATTTTACCAGGGATCCTCAGTGTTGATTTTATAGTTGATTTTAGTTCCTTCTTTGTTCCACATTCCAAAATTTCTTCAATAAAACTCCACATAAATTGTTTTATAATCACAAATACAACTTTGAAAGAAATGAAATTAAGTTCCCATATTGCAGCAACTCAGCATATATTTTATGCTATTTTAAATAGTTTATGCAGGAGAAAAAAATGTAATAAAAAAATTCAAAAACAACTACGTAATTACACAAAGGGTTATTTTAACCAAAATGTACTCTGGATATATTTTAAGATATCGACTAAGTGGATATTTACATGCAAACTTTTCAATGATACCACAAATATTTTTACAGCACACCAAAAAGAAAAACAAAAACATAAGGGTGTGGAAAAAAATAAAGCCACACACATTTAAAATGAACCTCTGATGCAATACATGACAGTTTTAAATGCTTTTTTCTTTCAACACATGTGTGGGTAGCGTTGGTATATTTACCCCTCAACCAAGATGTCATCATAAAGAATAAAGACATTATTTTATGAAAGACCAAAAAACATTCAAAAACCACCACTTCCTTTCAACTATTTTAATTATCTTATGGTAAGCAACCTCAACAGTAATAATTAGTATAAAATAAAAGCAAAAGAAAAAGTGGTTGGGAATTACTTGATGTGACTTTTAAAAACACTAAAGATTTTTAAGGAAAGAAAAAAATTCAAACAAGAGCTGAAATTAAAAGTGCATCTGAATATAACAAGTATTACCCTTCATAAGGATTTTTAAAATACAATTTTTATTTCAACAGTACTTTTGTATCACTAGGCTTACACCAATGAACAAAACCCTACGTGTCTTAATTAGAGCTGCAAAATGACAGAATATTATCGAAGATGAACTGCAACAGTTGTACTGGATTGAAATTCAAAAGAAAAAAATAGCCCTTTCTCTTCCATTATCAGGAAAAACAAACCTCTATGCTATTAACATTGTTTGGAATATCTAAGAAAAAGCTCATGTCTTTTGTGATATTTGATGAATATAACAAGGTAGTAAGAAAACTATGAAATTGAAAATAACTAAATTAAAATTAAATTTCAGAAATTCTTAGAAGTATCCCATTAAATGAAAGATAAAATTATTGAAATAAAAATATTAGACATATTAATCTAAATTCATTAGTAACATCTTTCACATTTATACATTTAAGTAGTGAATTGCAATTTACAAATTACAAACAAATTCATTATTTTGGTAACAAACAAACTCATGATTTTTGGTAACAATGCTGTGAAATCAGTAATTATGCTCCCTTTAAACCAAAACTAAATTCATGTTAACAACTTCCCTGGGTAAAGTCAGGTTAAGAACAGTTTCTCAGATTCCTCACCATCTATCATACCACACAGATTTCATCACAATGAAACCAAAGTGTTTCATTGGTATTATAAGCAAAAATAAAAATAATAATAATGATTTTTAAATTTCCCAGAGTAATGCTTTTACTCTGGTAGTTACAGATGACAAAATCTTCATACTAATCCGCAAAGCAGATTATCTCCATATTAGATAAGGAAATTGAGACTTGGAGAAATCTGCCTATTTTCACACAGCTATTAAAGAGGGCTTAAATCCAAATTTTCTTGACTCCATAGCCTGTGTTCTTACCTAATAAACAACAGAGCCTCTTTTATAATTCTGCTTTAAAATGAACAGAGAAAGCAGCATATCAGTAAACAGTTACAGCATAGCTTCATTTAGCAGATCAATTAAAGAGTAGAAAGAATAAGATTAGTACAACTAGAAAAATATATTACAGAGCTAAGCTAATATATAAGTTGAGCTAAGGAGGGGAGGGGTACAGGGGGCTCATGGAGGTCAAGGACACTGCTTCTAAAGACTGCCATCAGGAAAGAGCCCTCAACACACTACCTTGTGGGTGTGGAACTGGGACACACAAAATGGAAGATGGACACAAAACAAGAAAGACAAGGCCTCCCCCTCAACCCCCCCAGCATCAGTCATTCACATTTGTACCAAAGACAGTCTCTTCCTATCAGGTATCATTATTCTAAGTAGGACCTGAAAACTCAGCTTATACAAAATATAAAATTAATGTTAATCATTACATAAATCAGAAATACCTCAATCCTACCTCTTTCTCATGCATTCGAGAGAATAAGTGATCATCGTGGAGGCTGCTAGATTTTCTCAGGCTGGATCTGGGTGTCATCTGTTGAATGAGCAAGAGTTATTTAACACTATTTCAGGCCTGGTTTATCCTTAACCCCAAAGTAAAAGTCTATTATTGCCTGAAGCTCAAGCCAGAATTGCCTCAAGTTCAATACCACCATTGCAGGGGAGAAAAGTGATTTATTTACTTTCATTTGATAGGATTAGTACACTATTATGCATTATAAGAAAACCTGTGTAATTTTCTATAAATAACTCAATGATCATTTAATTAAAAAATATTTGTCCATTGAAAAAGTCCATTGACATAATCACCTACCAGAGTTACTGGGATAGGCTTCTGTCTCAGGTACCGAGGATTTTCTATCTGAAAATTTAAAAAAATAAGATAAAATAAGGCCATATTCATTTTTAAGTTTTAGTTCTTATTTGATAAATATAGAACTAAGCTGCTCTATGAAAATGTTTTCTACATGTGCTAATTATTTAATCCATTTTTATAATGGATAATATATATTTTTAGGGTCCCCTAACAGATAAATGATAAAACACAAACTCCTCTACATATGTAAATGCACCTTCATGATCCTCACACAACCTAACTGCAAAGTCTCATCTCCATGTTCCTCACCTCATATTTTGTTCTCCCAGAATTCTGAATGACTTATATTTCCAGAATACCATATGTTCCTTCTGCCTCTATGCATTATCTTGTGCAGCCTTCTAGCTCCTATAATCATATACCTATTCATCTCTGTAGTCTCATTTAATTGCAGACTGGATGTATGAATCCCGAAATTTACCTCCACAATAGGAACTAGAATAGAAAATTCCTTCAGGAGTCCTCCCACATTTTCCTTTTCAGGCTCACCTACACCCCAACATACTCTGTATTCCTGGAACACCAAACTACTGTTTTGCCTTGAAAGCACTACTCTCTCCTCCCTATCTGAGTCCTTGCAATTTATGAAATCATTCTCCCAACATCCTCATGTGATGATCTTATTCATTACTCTCAGATTAGGAATGAACTCTCCACTGGAAAATGAGTTAAATTGCAACTACTACAGTGGTACCCTGGAGGTTCATTCCTTTTATGATCTAACATCTCTCCTATGCAAAACAGTGCCAGCTCTGTAAATGAGCTGGGGTTGTCTTGTAACCCGTCTATCCCTGGTGCCCACTATGTGGGTCTGGCAGGTAGTGGTCCCCCAACAAATATTCACTATGATGTGAAGGAGAGAGAGAGGGAGTGAGATGGGCAGGGAGGAGGGAGGGGCAGAGAAAAGGAGGAGGGATGAGCAGTACCTGCTCTGACCCTCTGTTCAGCTGCTGAAGCACCCTCATCTCTCCCAGCCCTCTAGTTTGTCAGTATGTCTCCATATCCATCTTTGAACACAAGCATGAGGATGATAACATCTCAATTTTGTACTCCTGGCATCCAGCACCACATCTAACACATAATATCCTTTAAATGAAATATTTACTGAATTCATATACTATATGATAAATTAGAAATACTGACCACAATCCCAACCATTTCACTAAAAAATGAAGTGGGAAAACATCAATATCAAGGAATTCTAACCTCTTGACATCATAAACTCACATGATGTGAGTTGGTTTGAGCGTATCAATGGATACACTCTCAAAGTGCACAGGTACCAATACAGCCTTGCCATGACATCAAATGATGGCAGTTGTTCTTACGCTGGAGTATACTTTAGCATCAACTGACAAACTGTTTCAAATATATATTATTAGGCTGTCCTCCTTCAAAATCCCAGTTGTGAAGTTCCTCAAGGATTTGTATAGTTAATCTTCATGGAAGATAATAATCCATACCACATTTGACAAGAAAGGTAATGGATTCTTCTTTGAAGAATCAACTCATCAGAGAATGTAGAAGCAATAAAATTAAAAAATTAAAACTGACTTAGATTTTCAGATTAACCAAGAAATGACTAACCTTCCTGCCCCCCAAAAAATCTAGACAAAACCACAAGGTTACAGATTTCTGAAAATAAAAAGCAAGCATCAAGGGTAGAAATCCTGAAAGAGTGAGTCCGAGTCACAAGTTAAAACTAGTTGTCCGCCACGACTTTCTGAGACAATCTCTCACCCATGCACAGTGAGCCAGCGACCCACAGACTATAGGATCCCAGTGAGTGAAGAAGGCAGAGGTCACAGTTTGTGGCAGCGGGAGAGACTAAAAGCTATGAAACAGGGCACCAGCAAGAAAGACCTGTGCAGAGGAAATGCCAGATGTTCACTTAGGAGGGTCCAGCAAGCGTATGTCTGAGAGACAGGCCAGGCTAAAGAACACAGGCATAGCAGCATGCTGCTGCTTCTGAGGATTTGCCATGGAAAAGCCACACCAGCAATCTATGGAATTTGGGAGTTCAAGCCCAGACAGCAAGAGAGCCCTCACTGAAATCGCAATTATATCCAGGGAACTAACTGAGATACCACAAAGGTCAAAAAAGTTTGGAACTTAATTTCACAAAGATAAAGGGGCTTGAGAAAAAAAGACATTGGAAATCTACAAAAACAAATTAGCAAGCATCCTTAATCTGTTTCTTAATCTGAAAGACTGAAAGTACTCCCTTAAACAGTTGGACAATACATGGATTCTCGAGTGTGAACATACTGTTATTAAACATTGTACTGGAATCTTAAACAGTACAAAAAGCCAAGAAAAGGAGGAGGAGGGGAGAAGAGGCCACAAAGATTAGAAAGAAAAAAAGAATGCTTCATCATTTACATGTAGCCATAGATCTAGAGCCTTAAAAATAAATATAAAAATTAGTCAGAGTTTGGCCAAGTCAACTGCACTTCTGTAAATTACAAAGATCATCTAGGAAAAAATATAATTAAACAAAAGAAATCACTTATAATAACAAAACAACATAATACCTAAGCTAAATCTAAGAAAATGTATTTCAATTCTTCAGTGAGAAAATAATTTAAACTTTTTTGTAAGACTGAAATAAATAGTGAAATCATACTTTTCTATAGTCTCAATATTATAAAAATGTCATTTCTCCCTAACTTGTCTACATTTATCCAAACCAAAATTTCAACAGGTTTGAGGAAAAGTTAATGAATTCATATAAATATAGTAAATAGATAAGAATAACCAAGACAAGCTAGAAGAAAAAAGCCAAGTGAGGTGACTTACAAAGACATACTATAGTAAGACTATAGTAATGAAGACAAGCCAATGGAGCCAATTAGAAAGTACCAGAAACCCAAATATGTATGAGAGTATGATTCATGAAAGAGCTAGCATTGCAAATGATTGAGAAAAACAAGGGTGTGTTCAATAAATGGAAGATAATTAAATCAGATTGTCTCCTCACACCATATACAATAAATTTCCTGTGGGCTAAATACTTATAATTAAAAAGCAGAACTATAAAAACCTTCAGAAAACAATTTAGAAGAATGACTTTGACTTTAAGGACTTGTCTCCAAGAAAGATACCACAAGTAACATTAAAAGACAAGCCCTAAACTAGATGTTTGCACATGGTCCCCAAGGTATGTAAAGAAGGTCTTAACAATCAATAAATAGAAAGAAAGGGGG